CAGACGTTCTTTTGCCGGCGGTGTGGGTATCCTGGTTGTTCGGTAGACGATTTGGGGGTCGGCTGCGTAATAGATTCGAGCGATTGCCGACCTCAGTCGTTTGTAGAACAGGCGGCTTACGTCATCACCTTTGAATTGAAGGTCTAATGTGATCTGCAATTTGGGAACTGACGTAATCGGTTCTTTCGCAATTCTCGGTTTGGTATGCTTATTATTATTATCTATTTTTACATGTTTACACCATCATTCTCGGGCATATGTGAAGCTATTTTACTTTTTCTCTGTGTAACTGTATGCGATGATGAATGATCTCGGTGTGTGCAAGGAGAGGAAAATCAATCCATTTGGATGAATAAACCGCTTGGTGACTTGACTCGTTGTGATGTCATTTGCTGGTTATTAGTTTGTAGGTAGCCAATCAGAGACATGGTGCAATCTGATTGGTCATATCAGTGTGACAAACGTCTGTGTCAGGTGTATGTGATTGTATCCATGACTCCAAAATATTTATATTCTATAAGACCGTAGCCGAAATCACAGTTTCATCACTGCTGCTTTCAAAATACGAAATAATAAAGTTCTGTAACTTTTAATTACTTATTTAATTGCAGTAGTGAAAAGAGAAGATGGTGGCTTCGGTCTTTCAGAATTCGACCAGTTCGGAGTCTCGGAAATGGTGAGTGATACTTCGGTATTTGTGTGCACGTCTGTGCACACGTACAAAGAGCGTTGACATCATGTGACTAACGGGAATGTTGTACACTAAAGAGCTTTCCAATCAATAAATATTCTCCAGTCTCAAATGGACTAATATACATACATTTGATGTCCTTCTGTGTGCGATACCCGATTGTGTCGACATAACACCAGTGTGAATTGCCCAGGGGGATGGATGTAAAATCCTGCACCCAGGAGATTTGCCTGTGATGAACGGATCAGCGTGCTTCATATTGCCTTGCATAACTGTTTCCTATTAATTTCCAAATCTATAAAACTCCTCACGATAGAACCGAATAGCCAGAAATTTCCCAGTTGTTTTATTGTGTGCTCGCATTTCCAATTGCCCGTGAATTTACCGTACACCCCCCCCCCACACACACATCTTCTGATGGAAAACAATTGATTTTTCTTTCCGTATTGATTTCCGAATAACTTGCTCGTTTTTTATTGCATAACTTTACTCGTAGACATGTATACAGATGACCTGTTCCGTCTGTGTGCCAAACAAATCAGAGCAGAAAAATCTTTATGAAAAAGAAAGACGTTCCATGATTGGCTTTTGGGCTGAATACTGTCAGGTTGCCCAGGTCAAGGCAGGTGAATTTTCTTGACGGATCCAGCATTAGAGCCTTCGGTTAACCAAACCCTGACCCACAGGGTAGCGGGGCGGTGTACGGCTTTCGGATGGGGTCAAACGTCCAAGGTGCCTATTACATCCCGATGCCCAAACGAACTGGTTATCACTGTCACAACCGGGAAGTTGTCGGTGTGGTTTGTACGCCTCGTCTTGAATGGTTTGGAATCAAGGTTCTTGGTCAACTAATCAAGCCCAATCAGGGTTTGTAGCCAACTCCCCTAATTGAGCTACCAGTGGTCAACTAACCCGGTTATAGTCTAGGATGTCGGCTTTTTGTCCTCTCACTTTGGTGGGGGAAAAACACCTCAGCCACGAGAAGGTAGAGTTTCTTCAGTAGAGGCTATTTGAGACACTTATTCGTATTGGAGCATTTGGCGAGGTGCACTGGAAGGGTGACCACCAGCGACCTTAAACACTATCCCCGACCAGACTGAGGATTTCGGAGGATCTATCTAACAGTGGTACCCAATTAAGTCAGCTGGATACTGGATCACCTCAAACCAAAATCTTGGACAATTAGCTTGTGTTCCTGTGGTCTTTACACAAAAACGAGGATGTTTAACAGCGTATCGTTCCATTTACTTGAACGGTTTATACATCCATTCGTCTTAACGCATCAGATTTCGGTGGCGTTGAAGCGGTTTTCGTTCCTGTCACCGGAGTGCCTTTACCCGACAGTCCGGTTAAGAATTCAACAGGAACAATCATCTACCCTCGACAGGGTAACCTGGCAGTATTCCGCCGACATGCAAATCACGGAATGCTATATATATATATATATATATATATATATATATATATATATATATATATATATATATATNTGAAGAATCGATGCTATTGTAATGGGAAGACGAGCGGACTAGGAAAACGTCTATTGATCCAACTCAAAAACAAACAGTGTATGTGTTCGATTATATACAGTCAATTCTCAACCGTGCGGCGGGATGATTCATGCCTCTTTCTGTGGGTCATTCCTTGTTGGTCTTGGTCCGCACTTGGCACGTACGTTGCCTCTTCTTCCGCGTGCCATTCCGACTGGTTTGACCCGATCGCGGCGCGAGATGCGTTGATCGAAAGCTCCGACGTTGTGGCATTCGGTGGGTATCTTTCCCGTTAGCTGCGAATTGTCTGTCTGGTTGTAATTGTCGATTCGCTCTTTTTGGGTGGCAATTAACATTGTCTCGCGAGGCACTTCCCGCCGCTGCGTCTGCGCGTCCGGTCGGATGAGCCCCATTCTTCATTCGGTCGCTAGCCAGGACACTGTACTGCCTTCCATCACATTATGATTCGATGTTCTTCAAGAGGGTTAGATGCTACTAACCGCAACAAACGTGACCTGGTGGTCTTGGCAGAATATCTGATACAAAGTAGTGTTGGAATGACTGGACAAAAATCCCCTGGTTATTGTGACGTAAATACACTTTCTGGGTACAAGTGAATGGATGAACTGGCAAAAGGTTACCGGATACACATGCCTGAATAACGACTAGAACCGCGAAACCGGTCGTGTGCTTCTAGGGAAATTTTGTTCGGTCATTCACATACTACTTATTATCAAATATATGTACATATATCACTGTCCACTACGCGTACTACAAGCACTGCCGGTATGCAGGATCTATGGCATAAAAATCCTGAATGGTACCAAACATGCACGCCTCACTAGACTTACATCTGGCATGAATTATTGCACGGCAAATTAAACACAACTATCCGCGCAACTTCGCTTCAACATCTTGCGCCAATCACTAAACGGGCACTATGAAGTGTAACAAAGCAAAACCACTTAACCTGGAATATATGACAATATTTAAATACGATGGAAGTGTTTGTGATGACCAACAAAGAGCACTGGACCGCTATTTCGTCCTGTTTGGGGGACTCGTCTGCAGTGCGTGCTTGTTTTTGTGTCCCGGTCAGGACTCGAACCGCGATCAATCGGGTTTGCCCTTACCCTTGAGCTACACGGTCGACGGTTATCACCTTGTGCGAATGACTCAATCAATTTAGAGTATCAAGCTTAGATTAGCCCATTCGATTGTTCAGAGGCACCAGGCATCCTTGATGGTCTTCGGTGTGGGTTTCGTTCCTTGGGAGATCGTTAATTTCCCACTGTTTGTATGCATTTAACTACGGCCACCAAGTGTCTGGCGCGCCTCTGAACAATCGAATGGGCCAATCCAAGTTTGATACTCTAAATATGACAATGTTCTTGTCAAGCTACTCACCCCTCAGGTGCAATGTATAAAATAGGTCACGGTATGATCAAACCTTGAAACCGAGTCCGACCAAGGCCTCCCGTTTC